GAACACTGTCAGAGATGGTGTTTTCAGCTGCTTCGAAACATTGATGATTTCCTTCAAGCGCGGTACACCAAGAGTTACGTTCTAAAAGAATTTTGAGCATTACAGCGCGCATACAAAATGAAATGAATGGATCGCACCTTTGCAGATACACCGGCGTAGTGGAAAGTGTTCAGAGTCATTTGAGTGGCAGGCTCTCCAAGAGATTGAGCAGCAAGTGCTCCAACCATTTCACCAGGCTGTGCAATAGCTTGTTGGAATCGAGTCTCGATTTCACCTGAAATATAGGGAAATCAGTGCCAGCTGAAAAGCGTATGATTATGTAAGCTTACCAATTAGCCAGTCGAAAGCCTCCATATTGAGCTTGTGGGTTGATGCCATCTTTTTGGAGCACAGTGTTGACCGAATCAGAATGTTCATAAGTAGAGTAGCATTGTATTGGGCCTAAATCATTTGTTCACAGGGTGAGCTACCCGAAGATAAGATGTGGTACACATACCTGCTTCGAAATTTTGTCCTCGCCAGAAACGATAATCAATTTTTTCGACAGTTTTCGCACTCCATCTATGACATGCAAAGGACTTAAGCTTGTTGCCTTCCTGAAATAACAAACCTCACAGCCGAGCAAGCTTCATCAACAAAACGAATGATAATACTTTCGTAATGTAACAATCAAAAATTATGCGATAACGACGTGCCTTGTTTCAACGTGGAAGATCTTCTGAGCATTCCATATCAATCGTTGGAGGTTGCAAGGCAACACGATCTTAGCATCACCAGTGGGGAATATTTTTCGAAGCAAACGTCGGTCTTCTTCCAGTTGCAAAAACTCAGCCTCCAACTAAAAACCAGTGATTACATATATTAATTTACACGCATGACTTCTTTGATTATTTAAATTACCTCCTTGGTTGCCTCAGGAGACGATTGCAATTCACGGACCAGATCCTCCGTATAGTACTTCCTCAACGTCTTTTCGTCGGCGAGATCATTCTGGAAAATAAGCACAGGATATTACGTTTTTTT